CGGTGTTACATGGGTCCTTCTTGGAGCTCCAAAAATAGCCTGTGTGGCTGTTCTGGACCAGCTGTAGCTTCCATATACTCTTCAACGGTAGCCTCATGTAGAGTGCATTGCAGTAGTCTACAGTATATGGGAGATAACAAGGGCATGAGTGACCATTTGAAGGGCATCCCGATCCAGGAAAGGGTGTAACTGATGTAGAACCCGAAGTTCTGTAAAGGCCCTCCTAGCCACGGCTGCCACCTGCTCTTTGAGCTGTGAGTTCAGGAGGACCCCCAGATTATGCACTGGGTCTCTTTGGGGCAGTGCTACTCCATCCAGCACCAAAGATGACAAAGTCCCAGATACAGAGGAGCCATTAACCCACAGCCACTCCATCTTACCAGTGTTCAGCTGAAGCCTGTTGATCCTCATCCAGACCCTTACAGCCTCCAGGCACTGCGAAAGAGCAGTCATGGCATTACTTACCTCACCTGGGATGGAGATGTATAATTGAGTATCATCAGCATATTGATGATACTTCATCCCATGATGGCGGATGATCTCACTCAGGGTTTCATGTAGATGTTGAACAGGAATGGAGAGAGAACCGAACCCTGTGGCACCCCACAAAGGAGGGGCCGAGGATGGGTCCCTATCACCACTGACTGGGATCGGCTCTGGAGAAAGGAGGAGAACCAGCACAAAACCGTGCTGCCCACCCCCAATTCCCTGAGCCGTCCCAAAAGGATACTGTGGTTGACAGTATCAAAAGCTGCTGAGAGTTCAAGAAGAGCAAGGATGGTCGCACTTCCACCATCTCGCTCCTGCCAGAGATCATCCATAAGTGGGACCAATGCCGTTTCCATTCCATATCTGGGCCTGAAACATGACTGAAAAGGGTCCAGATAATCCATTTCCTCCAGAACCCTTTGGAGCAGTGAAGCCACCACTTTCTCAACCACCTTCCCCAAAAAGGGGAGGTGGGAGACCGGACGAAAATTGTCCAGTACAGTGGGATCCAGGGAGGGTTTCTTGAGGAGGGGGTGCACCAATGCCTCCTTAAAGGCAGCCGGAAACACTCCCTTCTGCAAGGATGTCTTAACTATCGCCTGGATCCAACCACATGTCACCTCCCGAGCTGCTTTCACCAGCCAGAAGAAGCATGGGTCCAGATGAAAAGTGGTGGCCTTCACAATCCGAAGGATCCTGTCCACTTCCTCAGGATCAGCTGGATCAAACTGTTCCCAGATAACTAGGTAAGGATGATTCCCTGGTATCTCCCCAGACCCTGCCCCATGCTTGGAGTCTAACTTAGAACGAATCCGAGCAATTTTGTCCTGAAGATTCTCTGAAAATTACTCCACACGGCCCCGCAAATGAATCACTGAATCACTTTTCCAAGGAGGGATCTATTGATCCCAAACAGGGCCGCCGGGCAGCATTCAGCTGACATGATAAGAGCGGAGAAGTATTGGCGCTTCGCCGCTCTTATCGCCACAAGGTAGGCATTAATAGTGGCTCTAACCTGTGTTTGCTCAGATTCAGACCTTGTCTTCCTTTATGAAGTCCTTCAGTGGAGTTTGGGGAATATATTCTCATTGGTCATGAAGGAAAAAGGGCAACCTGTCTTTTCTCCCCATCATTATCCTCTGGGATCGGGATGAATGGGCTGTATTTAAGGCACGAGCCACAGTCTGGATGGTGTTTTAACTTAAGGAACTGTCTAGAGAGAAGATCCTCTCAACTTCCTATTGAGGTAGAGTCTCCAAGTTCTCTTTCTCTGTATGCTTTTTCCACCCTTTCACAGACAAGGCAGGCTTTGCATATGAACAGTGAAAATGTTTAAGAGTGAGCTGCTCCGTAAAAAGAAGAAAGAATTAAAATCATCATATTTGGTCCTTTTGTTTGTCTGGATAACAAAAGAAAAATCTGAGGGGTTTATCTGAAAGGAAGATCACTGTATGATAACTCCATGGTGAAGTCCCACCAAGCTGTTGTGATCCAAACTTTCCCTACAACAGGTTTTCTGGAAAACCCGAATACTCTTTCTAGAATAAATTCTCCCTCTAAGAAGGATTCAGACGTCTTACATTGTAAACAAGTACATTGATTTGGCTCCCCTTTCAAAAACAGCAATCAGACAACTGATGTTCTTGATACTGAGTAATGTGATTTGTGCAGAAACAACACAAATGCCGTTCTTAGTCAGTACGGGAGTGAAGGTCCTAATGAAACGCTCCCCATCATCCATGGGGAGCAAAGGCTCCAATAAACGTCCAGCTAAAGTACAAAGCAGTTTTATAGTCCCAGGTTCTGAGCATCTTTCTATGTAGGGCTCTAATCAGCCTTGGATGTCCTTAAGCATTATGATGCTAAGATGTGAAATTGAGCATATCATGCAATAACTTGGCACTGGTATGTAGACTGACCCCTTCCAATCTAACGGTCACTGTGTCGTTCTCCAGATTTGCTGACATTGTTCAGTTGACCCTTTAGAGAAACTTCTTCTGTTGCTTGCCCTAAGATGCTTACAGCCTAAACAGAAAACAGCGGATATTGGAGGGAGGAGATGAATGGGGAAAGCATCTGCAATGATTCCTGTTGAAGAGGGTCAGTGCTGAATACAGATTTTCAATTAAAGCAAGTTTAGTCACCTTTCCTTCAATACATGACCCCTAAGACATGTCCATTAATATCCCTTTTTATATACTTAATCCACTCCCCTTTCCAGGGGCATGGAAAGCTGTCACCCTGGATCGATCAAACTGATTCAGGAAGGAGATCCAGTTGGCTGCTCTGAATGTGTTCCTTGTGCAGACGGGACCATCTCCATTCAGAAGGGTGGGTATTCTAGAGGGGACGTCAGTCAGTCCTATAACCCATCAGCTTCTGTGCCTTCTCATGTCTGTGCTAAAGGATGTGTTGCATATGAAAGTGTGGCCTGAGGTGGCCCTGAGTGTGACATTGGGTGCATGGAGATGTAGTCACTGTGGGAACTCTTGTGTAAAGTTTAGAAAGTAAAAATGCTCACGGTTCCCTTCTCCAGGCATCTGGCATTTGCACTGAATCATATTTTTATATACTGTATGTATGTATGGTATTTATTTCTTCCTGTGTATTAATCTTTTGTGAAGGAATCATGCACTTAAGGATACATCGAGCAAGTACTACAGCAACTACGAGGTACCCAAAATTCAATATCCCAAATTTATTGCATCCTAGAAAAATGGTTGTCTCTAGTCGGAAAGGTGGAAATAAACAGAAGTGCCAACAAAGTAAAGATGGTAATTCTCAATATTAGATACTACCTTAACCACTAGGGCCCAGAGTAGCCCGCATACCCACTCAGATCTATTTTCCCAACTTCCTTTTATCTCCCATTTCATTTTGTTCTCTTCTGGTCTCTGCAAGATATTGTCTTCGCGCACACACACACACACACACACACACTCTCTCTCTCTCTCAAGCCATGAGCCTTTTTCTTCTAATATATTGATGGCATTTCCCAAGACTGTCCCTCTGTCCTGTGTTTGGGGATTGATGCTTCCAGGTGGGATGCAAACATTTGCCATTATTAGGTCAGGCTCATTCCTTTTCCTGAACCTCATTATCATCCTGGAGGGATCAGAGTCCAGGTTTATCTGAATGGCCTCTGGATTCCTCTACTTGTTTAGCACACCAGGAAAATCCCCCTAAATGAGAATCGATGGGATGTGATTGCCCTGGTGGGACAGCTCATAATTTGCTACCCACAGGTCCTCTTGTAGATGGGCAGTCATATAAATTTGTTTCATAAATAAGTAAATAAATAAGTAATATGAATCCTGTCAATTAGATTTTATAAGCCCGACTCTCAGGGATCCAATTACCTGAGCATGAAAGAGAAGCCCATGTTGGCCAAGGAGCTCTTCTCCATCTTGGCCTCCAGTACTGGCCTCCTGAGCTGCATCTTTATCCCCAAGGGCTACTTGGTCAAGCCTAATGTCAATTTCCAAGAATACTGAATAGTAAAATAAAACAGAAAAGTTTAGATAGCTGTTTCCCAAAATGTCACTTAGTAAGTCCAAGGAACAGTATTTGACAATTCAAGACTCCTGAAGCAAATGAACAAAAAATTCATAAATTATTTTTATTTCCAAGTCTTGGTAAAGAAGCATTTAACAAATACTTCTTCCTTTATCCATGTAATAAAACAAAACAAAAAATGCATTTATAATGTTGGAAAAGAGAGAAAAACAAAGAGTAAAGGACTGAGGTGGAGATAGAAAGATACAAAACAAGTTTGATCCAGCGGTGAAGGCATTGGAGAAAAGCAGGGAAACTTGAGGTCTACTACAGCTTTATGTATGGAAAGCAGACGGTGACCTGGGACCAGACCCTTTAGGAAGAAGGCCACAGCAATCCATGCTAAAACGGTTACCAGAACAATCCCTGGATTGTGCATGATGTCAGCAGGAGTGAAGTCTGACTTGGAGGCAATCTAGGTCAGTCTCCTGGAAGAGTAGGAGCCCAGGTTCCCTGCATATTCCTTTCTTTGGAGTGGGGCTTGTGAGTCACAGAACTAACTGTCTGCAACACTCTGGGACTACACTCTGCTGCAGACCTTCCTGAGTCTAGAGAACCCCGGAAAAGTGGCCGGAATCCCCAAGAGACATATCTCCATCTCTATCTATTGCAAAGGCACGCACAAGGGTACAGCTCTAACTTTAGAAACCCATCTGCAGGGAGGTGGGACCCATTTGACTGGTCTGCCCGGGCGACTGATGGACCCAAAGGGGTTCCAAAGGGAGCTGGGGTTATACCTCAGGATCTGCTGCACAGACCAGTTCTAGAGTTCCTATTTTACTCTCCAATTACATTAAATTTACCTTACTTTTTCAATGTTTTGCTTCTGATTGATTGGTAGATTTTCTTTTTCCACTTTCTCATTTCCTTTTTGCTAAACAAAGATTTTTACAGTTCAAGAGAGAGATGCCTTAGCTGAAGTTGGAATGAAACGTCTTGTCGTCCGCTAAACTGTCCATGACATATGAGAATATATTAGCCATTTGATATCTTGGATCTGCTCTTGTGTGAGATTTGTTGGGGATCTACCTGTATTATATGGCTAGTATTGGTTTCTTCTTTCTCAACATATTTTCCACATTCTTTGAAACCTGAATTTCTATTACATCACTTATTTTCCTGATTTCTTGAAATTATAAGAGTAAATAAAATAATAAAGCAAGTTGCCATTGTAGTGAGAGAATGTCTCGCTTAAACCATAGACCAAGGTGTTTAAGCGATTGAAGCAATGAAGTAGACTTTTTTGGACAGACTGACAGGGATGACTGGGCTCCCAGGTAGCCGGCTGCAGGAGAAACCCCCAAGCAAAAGAACTCCTCAGATGACATATGTTTAGCCAATTATGTTTGAAAGCAATCAGTGAAAGGGGTACTACAATTACACTGTTTCCTTTCCTCTGGAATGCTTTGATTAGTCATTTAGATAGCCCCCCTCTTACTTTTCATACTCGCAGGATCCTTCCTGAGGTTCTCAACATGTCCCATCAACCCCAATGTTGATATCACAGCCCATTCCTCTCTAAAGAAGGATTGTCTGGTTTATGTTAACTGTCTCTGGTCTAAGGCCGCAGGTTACATACCGGTAAAGGCTGCTGTTGTACCTACAGCGATAACTTTAGGATGAATATTCTATACCATCACAACATATAAAGAAATGTGACTCTGAGCAGCATACAAAGTTAAAAACACAAATGAATACAACAAAAGAATAAAATAACCAAAGTAATAACAAGAATCATTTTTAAAAAAATTGAAACACTGAAACATGATTAAAAACCATTAAAACCATAATCTACTGGAGAGCACAACCGATCTCACAAACAGTATAGTCATTTAACACTGGGGTCTTCACCGAAGCCAAGCTGATCACCTTCAGCATGCTAGACTTCTGTAGCATCTTAGTGTCTTTCATGCCCACCTACCGAGGAACCAAGGGGAAGTATATGGTGGCCGTGCAGGTCTTCTCCATCTTAGCTGCCAGTGCTGGCCTGCTGGGCTACATCTTCATTCCCAAGTGCTACATTCTATAACCAAGACCAGATCTGAACACAAAAGAATATTTGATGTCAAAGTAAAAGAGTAAAGTGAATTTGGGTAGTAGGTTCCCCAAAATATCAGTTAGGAATTCCAACAAACATGGTTTAAAACTTTAATGTTCATTAATAAAAGAGAAAAAAAGCACCCAGTCCTTTTTTCTGGAACTATCACTTGTTCCTGAGTGTGGAAAATAAATCTGCATGTATTTCTGAATGACCCTAAATCATTGTGTCATAATTAATAATCATAATTTCTGGAACACAAGTGGTTTATTGACAAAAGAAATACAGAAATAAATCTGGATAGTTCAATTTTATGAGTAAAGAAAAGAAAGAGAAGAGTAACTGTTGAATTGCACTTGCAGAACTGAAGCCAAAGTACTGATGCAAGCTAATTCTGATGAAAATTCCTCCTTGTCAGGATTTTGCTGGACTTTATGGGAAGTATAAAGATTAGTAAGATCAACAGGAAATTATTTTGCTGATCCTCAAATTTGTCTGTCACGTAAATGGGATCCATATCTAGCTAGAGACTGAAAGGCAAATTAACCTAGAAAGAAAGCCCAACGAAATCCATCTTAATATCCAGATCTTGATGGCCCTGCTAAAAGTCTCTCTTGATCCTGGGTTTTCTAAAAGGATTCTGTTGGAAAGCTTTGGGGCCAAATTCTCCAGCCTCCCTCACTGGCCCATCTTCAAAGTTTGGAGCCACATCTGTGAGTTCTCCCTTTGGGTACCTGCCTGTTGACTTTGTCTCGGTTCAGAGGGGTGACAGTTCTCTTCCTTGCAATTATCCAAATCATAGTGATTTATGTGAAGTCCCTAGAGACGTTTCTGCAAACTTTCAGAAGATTTTACACAAACATGTCAGAAAATGTTTTGATGTCTGTATCAAACTGAAAGGCAAAGTTGGGTGGGGCCTTCGTCAGAAATGCTGGCTGCATAAATGTCTCTGGAGACAGAGAATCTGGGGGTAGTTTCAGGAAAAGCAGGGGCTGTTTGTGTCCCTTGGCTGGACTCAGTCTGTATCTGAAGCTTCATTCTTGGAAGAGGGTTGGGTTTCTTCCACCTCTTCATCTCATTCCTGGTTAAAAAGCAGGTGCCACAGAGAAGGCTCAGCCAGTAACACAAGTCATGTTGCTGCTGCTTTTACTTGTGCTGCTTCTGTGGCCCCAGGAAGCCTTTCGGATGCTCAAAGCCAAATGCCTCCTGACTCTGGAGCAGGGCGAGGTGGACCCGCAGAATCACTACAAGCCAGGAGATTATTACATTAGTGGCATAGTCTCTGCAATGAAGGTTAGGTTTCAGTCATTAAGCTTCAATAGAAGTCCTTCAAAAGAATTCACCATGTAAGTCAATCTTCCTGCACCACATTAGAGCATTTCCAGTGAATTTCTACAGTTCCAGCCCTGCAAAAACACAAGCTTCTCTCCCCATGATCTGCTTCTCTTGCTAACTTACATTCTGATTCTGTCTTGGGGTCCCTTTCTGCACCACATTAGAGCATTTCCAGTGAATTTCTACAGTTCCAGCCCTGCAAAAACACAAGCTTCTCTCCCCATGATCTGCTTCTCTTGCTAACTTACATTCTGATTCTGTCTTGGGGTCCCTTTTACATACTACAGGTGACGAAGCTCATTTTGAGCTGTCAAGTATAAGAACCCGATATTTGCCCTCACCCACTTTCCTTTGCGTCCTACGAGCAGTGCTCGACCGTGGACAGACAGGCACCAAATGATCTCTCCCTTCAATCTCATCCCTGGGCTGAGGTGAACTCTGGGGGATGCCCTGGTCCAAGCACAGAGGGATACTGGATGTTCTCTCTGCCTTTGAGATGAGATGACTCCACCATTGTTTTTCCATACCAAAATTTACTGCTGGGATGAAAAAGTCCCAGTTGAGAACATTTGCATTCGTGGAGTTTGCAAATGTTTCTAATTCTCAATCACAGGTTCATGCCAGGTACCTAACAATCTTTTTAAAAATGAAAATAGTATATCTATCATATTGGTTGGTTTGTTTATTTGTTTATTTATGCTTTGTGACTCTGGGTGGCTTACAATTAAAAGTAATAGAATAGAATACAGGAAAAGAATCATGAACAGCCCCAGAAACAACAGTAACAGCAGCAGCAGCAGCAGCTGTACCTTCCCTACCCCAGGGGTAGGGAGAAGAACGTCGTCTTTAACAGCTTCTGAATGTCATCTGGGCAGGATCCTTTTTCAGTCAGTCTAAACTCTGGAACAAACTCCAAAAATGCTTATAATATCAAGAATATACTGTACAAGAGCTATTATTACATAGTTTCTTTTAGCCATTCAGTATCTTAAAATGTAATATCTTTTGAAAGAATCCTAATGGTGCACTGAAATATGGAAGCTCTCTGGGTATATCACCTCCTACCCCCCCCCCCCCCCCTTATTGAGAGAGTCCATCAAATACAGGATAAAATGCTTGAAAACCAATGCATGAAACTGAAATGGTGTTTGTGTAACCACCTGGGAGAGTGTCTTTGAAGTACTGTGTGGTCCAAAATTTTCTATTGTTTTTATTCTTTTTCTATGGTAATCCTTTGGAATGTTGCAAACTGTTTCAGAGAAGAAGTGATTGTGTTGATTAAAAGTATTATTGTGGAAGAAAATTTAAATGCTATTTTCATCACAATGTTCATATCTGCAGGAAAGCATCCAAACTTTATTGGAAATTTCTGCCCTTCCTTTTCACCTTCGAGGCCATCAACCAGAATGGCCATCTCTTAACCAACCTCAGACTGGGGTATGAAATCTATGAGAATTTCTACAAGGTAGAAATGACTTCAGAAGCTTTGCTGGACCTGCTTTCAGACAGGGAGGCTAACGTCCCCGCCCTTCCTTTTCACCTTCGAGGCCATCAACCAGAATGGCCATCTCTTAACCAACCTCAGACTGGGGTATGAAATCTATGAGAATTTCTACAAGGTAGAAATGACTTCAGAAGCTTTGCTGGACCTGCTTTCAGACAGGGAGGCTAACGTCCCCAACTACAGGTGTGGAAGGAGGAGACACACGGTGGCTGTTCTGGAAGGGGCTGAGACTGGCATCTCCATCCAGATTTCGACCATGTTGGGCACCTACAAGATCCCTCAGGTGTAAATTAATAGATTGTAGAAAAAATGGATGTGAAGTTGTAATCCTAGAGTAAGAGTTTTTCTTATGTATGTTTTACTTATATATGCTGTAAAAGAAATTGGAAATCGTTTTTGTGTGTGTGTGTTTCTATTTCTTTCTTTTTCTTCACCTATGCTTTCCTTCTTTCTCTTTATTCTTTTTCTTCTATTCTTTTTCTTGATTATCAGTTACTGCTAGTTTTTATCTGTTTTTAAAATTTAATAAAGCTATTATTAAAAAAATCCCTCAGGTGTCTCTTTCTTGGGGAGACAGTTTTCATTCATACAACTATGAATCAGAGGTCCTCTGTTTAACAAACAGCAGAGTTTTATTATGGAAATGATAGGAATTAAAATTTGTTTGTAAAATTTTAAATACGACCATCTTCCATTCCTTTCAGATCACTTACAGTTTTGTTTCCCAGATTCTGAGGGATAAAACACAGTTCCCTTTCTTCTACCCAATGCTCCCTGCTGAAGGAGTCCAGTATTCGGGGATGGTCAAGCTGCTCCTCCATTTCAGGTGGACCTTGGTGGGTCTGATGGCTCCAGACACTGACCAGAGGCACAAATTCATGACATTGCTGACTTCCCTGCTGATCAGGAATGGCATTTGTACAGCTATGTACCAAAGCTTTGCACTAACTGAGGTTCAGATGGATGTAATATTTAAAGAATGTTTCAAGTGGAGAGAAGTGAATGTCATTGTTTATGGTGCAGAGACTAATTCATTCCAAATGGGACTAAAGATTGTACATAGACTACTTCAAGACTTTCAGGAAGATGCTGTAGAAAAAGTCTGGATCACGGCAGCTCATTGGGATCTCAGTCTCGAGTTAATGCTCAGTACCTTGTCCTTTAAATATGTAGGTGCCACTTTTTCCTTTCTGATACAGAAAACGAAATGGGCAAACTATGATGCTTTTCATCTCCTTTATGAATTGATGCATGGCTTTGTAAAGAAAACCTTTACATGTTCATCCACTAAGAATACCTTTTCGGTGAAAGTCTGGAGTCAGTGCAGACAGAGAGAAGAACTGGAGCCTCTGCCCCAAGAGGAGACTGATCGGATCCAGGCTCTGGACAGCTTTCTCATTCACAACACGATCTGGGCTGTTGGATGGGCCTTACATTCAGCGTCTGTATCCAGGTCCAAGAGATCAGTGAGGAACAGGGGCATGATGGTGGAAGCTCCAAGGCTGGAGACTTGGCAGGTATTTCTTTTCCTTTAGACATGCTTCCCCTGCAAATGGGAATCAGTTTTGTCAGTCAATGCCTTGGTTACTTATTCTGAACATTTAAATTATCCTGAAACTAAAATCCAGCCTGATTCCAACTTTCGATTCCCTTGTGTATTGTCGAAGGGTTTCCATTCCCTTCCTTTTCCTTTCCATTCCCTCTGATCCTTGTTTTTCCAATATTCCTCCCCCTCCCTTTTTTTTTTAAGAGAATACTTTGATATCTCGGTTGTTCAGCCATCCTTTTCTCTTCTTCCATCAAATATCTAGCTTCCTGCCCCATGTATTATACTGTGTCCATGTCTCTTTTCTTTGACCTTTCTCTCTGCAATCAGGAGTCCTGCTGGGTCCCAGAGAACCCCATTCCTTCCCTTCTGATCACAGGACAGCCTGACTCCTCTGCCCCCTCTCCTGATGATCTGCCCTTCTGCTCAAGGCCTCCCTTTGCCCAGGGCCTCTCTCTCTATTCCTTGGCTACAGCCAGCTCCATTCTTTTGCCAAGGCTCTCATGTCTCAGTCGGGTTGGAGAGACCAAATGATGGAGGGTCTCCGAAGGTGCCTTCACAGGGCCAACCTTCTCTGGGCTGAGAAGCTAAGCAGGATGGAGTTTGTTTTTTAACCGTTGTTAATGAAAATTGGATGCTAAGGATAAGCTCAGTGATCAAATACTGAGTAGCTGGCAGTTTAGAGGTAATTCAGCACAAAGGATATTTGTTGCTGCAAGGCTGGGCAATCCAAAGGAAGAAAGAAATCAGTTCATTGTCTATGAGGATTTAATCCATTTCTCAACTGCACAGGAGGAAGGCAAAGAGTTCAGAGGAAATGGGAGCAGTTTGGAGAAGTGATTCGCTTTATGTAGTGGTGTGTTGTAGCAAAGGACAGGAAGAGAAGAAACAAGACTTGGGCCCCAAGAAAGACAGCCAAAATTTTTGAGGCTTCATATCAAAGCAAGGAGGGAGAGAAATTTACAAGAAGCAGCATTGACATACAACACAACACACAGAACACATCCCTGTCATGCTCCTTCTAGTGCATGAGGGTGTTGGTGTGACTGTAGAGGAGACCTCTTCTCTGCCATCAGCAATTTTGACCTGTTGGCTTGACCACAGGACTAAGGTTGTGCTGACAAGGAGCCAACTTGGGGTAACACTTTAAACTGTGAGAGAGTATCAGCTAATACTCTCCAGTCACAGAAAGGAATATTTGATAGCAAGAAGAGAGATGTTGTGGACCAATATCTTTGGATCATCAGTGGTATTTCCCATGCTAAGTCACTGGTCTTTGCTGCTGAAGACCGAGGAGAACAACACAGGGAGGGAGGAAACATGAAGCTACCCATCTCAAGTGGGCAATTAATGAAAGAACAAAAGAGAAAAATCACACGACAATCCTCAAGTTAAAGGAAAATCTGAGTGGCTGAAATTGGCTTCTTCAGGTTTCTTTTCTTTTCTTTTCTTTTCTTTTCTTTTCTTTTCTTTTTGAGGTTGATAACACATCAATGAAAAAAGAATTGGTTGTTTGCCAAACTTCTGATGTCTTTTCCCTTCCTTTCCAGCTCCACTCCTTCCTTCAAAACTCTCTGCTTCACAATCATTCCATGGATGGGGTATATCTGGATGAGAAAGGAGATCTGACAGCTGACCTGGACATTGTGAGCTGGGTAGTTTTCCCCAACAAATCGGTCAAGAGAGTGAAATCTGGGAGTCTAGAAAAACAGGCATCTCAGGATTTTAAATTTACCATAGACCAGCAGAGTATCACCCAGGTGGAAATGCTGACCAAGGTAGGAATAATATTGAATTCACTCCACTAGAGGTGGCAACAACAGGATGGCACTTTTGGCGTGAGGTGGGAGTTTGCTTTCAATGCCTTTGAGTTTTCATGTCAGATGATCATTTTCTCAAGAGCGTGAACTTCTCCTTTATTGGCTATTCAGGAGCCCTTCAAAAATAGAGTCTTCAGTTTTCATAGAAATGATTCACTAGAGTCTATGGAAAGGGAGGTAGCCTGACCCATTCATGCAAATAACGTGGTTTACATAGCCAAAGCAAAGAATCCATCAACATTTCTCTGAAGAATTTAATATCTTAATTTAAGATGAAAGTCTAAAACTTGTAGTGTGTATCAAACATCAGAAAGGAAGAGAAACCAAGAAGGAATATGCAGTTCAATCTGTCTGCACATCACATCTCTTATTGACTTCTAATGTGCCAAAGTTAAACCTTGAACTGGAGATCACCAACTTTTCCTCCTTTGCCATTTTTCTGAAAATCAGTTCATTTTCTGCATATTTTTCATCTCTCTGCTCAGCCCCTGCCTCCTTCCCAGTGTGTGGAACGCTGTTGTCCCGGATTCCGGAAGATGGCTCAGGAAGGGAGGCCCATCTGCTGCTATGATTGTCTTCCTTGTCCAGAAGGAACCATCTCCACCATGGAAGGTGGGTGAGACCGGAGGAAAGGGCCACACTTTTGGAAGACCAAATATCCTGACCTTTTTGATGAAAGGGTGTTTTGATAGGCATATCTAAAATTTGGCTATTTTGTTCTTCATTTCTTTAGAATATGTATTGTTTATTTCATAGTGAGTGTTAAGGAATGATCTTGGACTTTAAATTGGGAGCAGGTTACTAAAATGAAGGGGATCAATGAGGACTTGGCATTAGAAGGGAGATGACATTTCTTGCTTTTCATCTTGTATGCTGGTGAACCTCTGCCATCTTTTCTTGATGTCTCTAGAGAAATGGAGAAGTTCTGATCCTTTCCTTTCCTTTCCTTTCCTTTCCTTTCCTTTCCTTTCCTTTCCTTTCCTTTCCTTTCCTTTCCTTTC